CCATCCATCCCTTGCACCGTCTTCTCTGTCTTGCCCGGTGTTTGCTGCTTCCGTCTCTTCTCAATTATGGCATCAACACCTTGGTCACCCGAATGCTTCAGTTTTGTCCAGTTTAGTGTCCAGTCGAAGTCTTCCTGGTTCCGTCATCTCTTCAAATAAACTTAGTATTTGTCAGGCTTTTCAAATTGGGAAGCATCATAAGCTCCCTTTTATGCCTTCTTCTTCGGTTACTTTTAGTGCTTTTGATATTATACATACAGATGTTTGGACCTCTCCGTGTCATTCCTTTAGTGGTCTCAAGTATTTTGTACTCTTTCTTGATGATTTCACTCATTATTTATGGGTGTATCCTCTTAAAAATAAATCCGAGGTTCCTCAAAAGTTTGTTGAATTTTATACTCTTGTTCAAACTCAATTCAATGCTTCCATCAAAACTCTTCAGTCTGACGGTGCAGCTGAATATGTTCATTCTCATTATCTTCAGTCTTTTCTTAAATCTAAGGGGATCACAATGCGTATCTCTTGTCCGTACACTCCTCACAAAACGGCAAGGCTGAGCGCTTGAATAAAACACTAATCAATATGATCTGCACGCTTCTGCATCAAGCTCACTTACCACATGCATTCTGGGTAGAGGCTTTACATACTAGTGTCTATCTGTTAAATCGTTTACCTACTAAATCTAAAAATGGGGCCATTGCTTTCTCCCTTCTTTTTGGTCATCCACCTAACTATGGTTCCTTAAGGGTGTTTGGGTGTTCCTGTTTTCCCAATCTTTCTCATTTAGCTTCTCATAAGCTCCATCCTCGCTCCGCTCCATGTGTCTTTCTTGGTTATCCTGAATCTTATAAGGGCTATCGTTGTTTTAATCCCGCTTCTAAGAAAGTCTTTACTTCCCGTCATGTCGTTTTTTATGAAACCTCTTTTCTATTTCCTCAACTCTCTTCGGTTCCCCAAACAATCCTCCCCAATCTCTTTTAAAAATCCCTCGTTCCTTATTTCACGATCCCTCCCTTCATCAGAATCCTCTCCATTGGTTGCTTCTCCTTCACAAAAACATGTGTCATCCATTCCTTTAGTATCTGCACCCACACCTTCCATTTCATTGTTACATACTTCGGATCCTCCTCTTTCAAATCCCCCTATTCATCATATGGTCACTAGAACTCGTGATGGTACTCGTAAACCTAAACAGATACTCTCTCTTACTGCCACTACTACATCCTCTTCACTCCCTACTGAACCATAATCCTTTACTGAAGCGAATAAATACCCTGAATGGCGTGCCGCTATGAATGACAAATTTAATACTCTCCTCACTAATCATACATGGGATTTAGTCCCTCCCCCTGTCTCTGCCAATATTATCGGCTCCAAATGGATTTTTCGAGTCAAGTTAAAATCTGATGGCTCTCTTGATCGATGTAAGGCACGTTTGGTCGCTCAAGGCTACAATCAACAGCTTGGACTTGATTATGACCAAACGTTTAGTCCGGTGGTTAAACCTGTGACAATTCGGACTATCTTAAGTATTGCTGCTTCTCGAAAATAGCCCGTTCATTAGTTGGACGTTAAAAATGTGTTTTTGCATGGTCATCTTAATGAAATTGTCTATATGAAACAGCCTACTGGTTTTGTTCCTCCAGACCATCCTTTCTATGTCTGTCGGTTAAACAAAGCCATTTATGGCTTAAAGCAAGCTCCCAGAGCTTGGTTTCATCGTTTCACTAATTTTCTGCTTACACAAGGTTTTAAAGGCAGTCGCTCGGACACTTCCATGTTTGTGTATTCTTCTGGATCGGATATGGCTGTTTTGTTACTTTATGTTGATGACATTCTATTAATACTATTATTATTTCCCCTTAATTTTCGGCTAAATCCTAGAAGCGAAGTTTATTAAAATTTCTTTTCAATGTTTTTAATTAGAAACATTAGGAGGCATGTAGTTGACCTGAATTGAGTAAACAAATGAAAGTGAATTGTCCTCAAGTGTACATAGGTCAAACGTGACCATGCATGTTCACTTTATGAACAATAAAACTTAAGTTAGAATTAACTAAAATTCTATATATGATAAATTAATACTAAGGTCTAAGGGTGAGCTAATAGAATATGGAAACCTCCAGATTTGCTGTCGGTCTCCACCGTTTCAAATTTTGTTCATTTTGAAGCTTAAAACTCAAGCTACCTTGGCCAATTGAATATTATTATTACTAAGCTTAAGATCAAAGCTTTATGTGGTCAAGCCCCCACCGCCTCTACTCTTCTTTTAAGCTGCTCTACCCTGGATTGGGTTTATATATAAAGCCAAAATGGTTAGCATGAATCCATTCCCCTGCCTTTCTCCTTAATCCTCCTCTGCTCAAGAAACTATCACAGCACAACCATCACTCCTCATTAGGCTTTCCATGCTATTGCTCCCGAACTAAACTATCACAGCACAACCATCACTCCTCATTAGGCTTTCCATGCTATTGCTCCCGAACTTTTTGTCGTTCTAGTTAAAAGATGAACAAGGAGTATTTTCTATCGAGTAGACTTGAGAGAAAGGGATAATAGATAAATAGGGGAGAAGGAGGAAGAACTCGAAGGAAGGAGGAGCTCGTTGGTAGACAACATCGTTTCCTACTTCGGTGCAATTAGGTACGTACTAGTTTCTTTCTTTCATCATTAAGTGCTTGATTCCATGTGGATCTCTTCTTTCTTGCGTTTCCGGTTATAGACATAAATTGGGACGAGAAAGTATATAATAGATATAAAGGAACCATAGTACTAGAGTAAATCCCCTGTAACTAAACCGGAGTATAACTCAAATAAAGCACGTCTGAAAATAGGAGTAGTAACCAATTCGGGAATAATAATAACAATAATAATAATAGTTAGAGTTGATTAATAAAATATATGCATATTATATGAAAACTCACCTTGGTCACAAATGGTCTCTGCTAACCAACTTAATATATAAATACACCTACCCCAATACACCAAAAACCACATAATGAATCGTCTGATGATGGTATTATTTATGGACGTGCAAGTGATAAAAGACTTCTAGCCTTCTTTAACAACTTATTTGGTAGAGAAGTAAACTAAAGCAAGACATCTTAAACTGTTACTAGATTGCAAGAATAATGTATTCAATTAATTATTAACTCTAACTAGTGATTAGGCACAAGTGCCTGAATGATATGTGGTCATCGAACAAATAGTATAACATCATTGCGATTCATGCAGATCAAGTGTACGAGGAAACTGAGGAGGTTTGCAATATCTTTGGGTAATTCTCGCTCTTTTAAAACTGGGAGTATGGGAATATATATTTATAAACTCAATACACACATGAGCATATTTTTACATATTATTGTAATATTAAATGTATATCGTTAAATGACCCAATGGTGTACTTAATCACCTCGGGATAAGTGTTTAATTGTCATAAGTGTTGCTAGTTTCGGTCGTATGTGTTAATGTGTTTGAATGCTATTGACTGGTTATATGATTGACTATAAGCGTTGAGTGTTAAACATATTGTACTAAAGTGAAATGTTTTAATGGAAATGTTACTGACGGTGACATCACCTTAGCAGAGTTGCAATGTTATCGTTAACTGTATTGTACCCGGTGGTGTACTTTATCGCCTCGGAAAAGTGTATTGTTTGTGCATGCAATCGTTGATTTGTACACACGCCCGGGTGATCTTGGTCGCCCTGAAGCACGGGCCCAGGCACTGGACAGGCAAGGAATGTGAGCCGGCATCGGGCTTGGTCATCAGTCTTTGCCGTCAGTGGTCGTATCGTAGGGAAAACTCGACAAAGTGACCCCCGTCGCGACAGAAGGAAGGTGAAGATTGAATTGTGAATTGATATTGACATTGGATCGTTATCGTTATCCCATTGTTAAAATCTGGCTTGGAACCTGTCTTTGTGCCACTTAGGCTCTTTGACAGTCTTTACTAAGATTTTTCCGTATCCACCTCATTGGTAACTATCTAATGTGAAATAGTTGATTGATGAACGATTATTTGCAAAGTGCTTCCCTTTTGAATATTATTTTATGAAAATATATTTATTTAAAAGTATCGTAGTAGTGTAGTGAGAACCTCACTGAGCTCGGCGCTCACCCCCCTTTTATATTTTATCCCCTTATCCCACTCCCAGGTTTAGAATGGATCGATGCATATGAGTCCACGGGAAGCAAACATGTGTGCAAAAGATGATGTTATTGATAGGTTGTAATATAGATCAGATAGGTTTTAGTAAGAATGTTAAGTTGATGTTAGAATTTGTATTAAAAATAAATAAAAGTATTGCGCTTTGAGCGAGAGCCCGGCGGACGGCTCAACTCGTAGCTAAGCATGATGTATAATAATAGATAGGTGAGTTGGGTCGTCATAAACGGGCTTGAAGAAGTAAAGAGGCTGCCATAGTAATCCATGATGATCTTTTCTAAATCAGTTGTACTATTTCTCATAACTCCCGAAATATCGCATAAACCAGAATTGTGATTAGTGGTATTCCTCTTACTAGCATAAGCGTGAAAAAATTTGGTATTTCTATCCCTTCCTTATACCAATATTGTTTTGCCCTCTGCTTCCACTTAAGATTTTCACGCTCCAAAAGGATGTCAAGTTCACGTTCTAGGTCACCAAGCTTTGATCTTTGAGAGTCATCAATTCTAGCCTGATGTAAAACCAAGATCTTTTTCTTCAAGTCCTCTATGCGCTTCAAAAATCAGTTTTGTGGTGTTTGCTCCAGTTAATTTAACCCAAATGAACATTTTCCAGTTTGTCACCCAATGAAGTAAGATTTGTATCCCAACTTTCCTCAATCACTTGCGCATTATCCGAAGTTTTGATCCAATGCGCCTCGAACCGAAAAGGTCTTCGGCGCTGGTTATTTGGGGCAGTAAAGATCCCAACCCGTATTTGTATGAACAGCATCATATGATCAGAGCAAAAGGAGGGAACATAAAAGCCTTGATTGCATGAAGAACGATCCAATCTAGCTCTCTGAGTACGGGGGTACTGATTTTGAGACGCTAGTATATTTGTATCCTTCAAAGCCCATATCAATCAAATGTTGATGCTCCAAAGCGTTTCGAAAAGCTGAAATTCGCCAATTCGCTCTTGGACGACAACCAGCGAATTCATCCTGCGAGAGAACTTCATTGAAGTCTCCAAACATAAGCCAAGGTTGCTCTAACGGATCATACAGGGAGGAAAGATAGTTCCAAGCATCTCTATGGAGCGAAACGTCCGGCTCCCCATAAATACCAGTGATGCAAATGCTTGGTCCCAGCAAAACAACATTAGTGTCAATGAATCGGTCTGAGAAAGAACGCAAATTCACGATCAAATCTTTCCTCCAAAACTTGGCAAGGCCTCCTGAGGAACCTTGAGCTTCAAAATATAAACCAAACATACCCAATTTCTCTTTCAAGCGATCAAATTGCTTCTGATTACTCTTGATTTCACAAAGAAAGATGAGGTGCGAGGATTTAGCTCGAACTATTTTGTCCAGCTCCTGGAATTTTCGAGGACTCCCTATGCCTCGGCAATTCTAACTAACAATACTCGTTGAGTTGGGTGGGTCCGGGATGAAACCCAGACTCCGCCACACCACCATCCATAGAGAGATTCTCTAAGAAAGAAGGAGAAGAGGGACTACTATCAAAACGAGCCTTTTTTCCAAGCACTTCAACATCAATTGGTTGCAAGTCAAAACCTGCCAAATCATCCAGTGCCAACTTGCGTTTCGCACGATTTGAAGTTGCTGCCTGAGCAGAAACAGTTTGGAGAGCTTTCCACCGCATTGTGGTGAAGCGACGTGCAGCTTTTCGGGCCGAGGTATCTAAAGTCATGGGGACAAAAACTAGGAATGGACTGAGGAGGTTTGGATCATTAGTTGGATTATCTTTTGGCTGGGAATCTGACTGGGGATTCCGGTTGGCATTATTAGTGGGGAGAATAGATACGGGATCAAGAATGCGTGGGGAAGATAAGGGGTGATAAGGTTCTAGGGGAGAAGGAAAACATAGCTGTGTAGGGTTCGGGTTTGGGAGATTATTATTTGAAACTGGGGAAACTGGAATAATGTTCACATAGGGGTCAGCAGATGAAAGAACTTCCTTTTTGCCTTTCTGATTCTGAATGGGTGAAGGATCAGCGGGGCAAACATTTTTAGGTTCGGAGAACGGAATGGAGGATTAGATGGTTTAGCAGGAGAAACGATAATGGGAGCAGGTTCATCTGATATGGCTGAAATTGAGGGCTGAGGAATTGGGGTTGGATTACTTGAGGGTTAACATATCGAGAGCTAGTGGGGGCTAGAAGAGGAGGCTGATCGATAGTGAGGGGAGCACCATTTGAAGGGGAAGGGTCGACTGGGATATTGTGGTTTTGGGTTGGTCTAGAAGCATTGGTACCTTGGTGAGAAGTTCGATTAGGGATGACTGATATACGATGAGCTTGACGTTTCGTCCATGGCGCTACTTCCTCATCAGATATATCTGGAACATGAAACAGATCGGGCTCATTCGCTGGACTTTTTGAGACAAAAGGGTTCCAATAACCTTTTGCTTTCAACCAACTTCCATATTCTGGTGGATTAGATGAACTCCCAGGGGTTGCTGTCGGACAACTCGTCTCCACATGTCCAATAATACCACAATTATAGGACCATTCGGTCAGTCTTTCATACTACAGAGGGAAGGAGTAATCTTGACCTTCATGCTCGATTTGCAAAACTCTCATCAAATGCTTTTTCAAGTCGATACTCACCTTAATACGAAGCAATCTCCTGATACAGTTACGATCAGCGTCCTGGTACACTTCTACAAACTTGCCAATCTTATTCCCCGCAAAAGCAGAGAACTCCTCATTCATAAGATTCAAAGGGCAGTTATACAGATGGATTCACCAAGGGCATGACTCAAAATCCACATTAAGATCATCATAAGGCTTTAAGACCAAAGGATACTTCCTATCAAGCAACCAAGGCTCACCATGCAAAACCCTAGCCCAATCTATGTGATCATTGAATTTAATATGAACCACATTCTCACCCAAAGGCCTTACTGCAAATCCACGCCTCACAGACCAAATATTGCGACAGTGAGAGGCAATGGAGTCGTGCGAAACAATTCTTGGACAGTGGAGTTTTGCAACAACCGTCAGGAACGGATCAATCCGAGTGGTATTCAAAGAACTAGTGGAGTATCTGGTGCTTTCGCCTTCCCTCAATGACAATCTCCCAATGATGTTTGCCAAATCTTCGTTTGTCACCATAATCTCAACAAACAAGGCTAAAAGTCAACCGCGAGTGAGGAGAGGATATGAACAATTGTCAACACTAATTGCACGGCTCCGAAGAGATCTGTAAAAGCAAAAAATTTGAAAGAAAACCACAAACAGATTAGAAAAGAAAAACAAGATCATACGACTCTTGAAACAGTAAAAGGAAGAAGAAGACGAAGGCAAGAAATATGGATCTGGATAATGGTAATAACCGTTTTTATATTTGTCGGAAAAAAAAAATTTGACAAAGAAAAACGAGAATTTTGTGAAGAGGATACGGATGTTTAGATTTGATAGAAAAAGGAGGAACAAGTTGATGCAAAAGATCGAAACAGGATGAAAATCAGCATTGAAAGGATCAATCCATGGAGTTGGATTCCATGAAGGACTCAAATTGGAACGAGACTCTTAGAGCAAAACTCCCAGGGAGAACCGCTCTAGCACTATTCAGCATTTTTCTTGGTTTAATGATTACTGAGTTTTTTTTTTTTTTTCTCTATGAACATTTAGACATTTTTATGATCATTTTAATTAATTTTTTATGATCATTGATCAGTTAATTCGTCCATTCAATTAGTTTGCTGGGTGTTTTCAGTGAAATTTTCATTTGAAATTTGATGAATAGTTAACTAAAAACTAAAGGATCATTATGGATGGTCCTTCATGGTGGACTAGTATTTTTTTTTAATGGTTGATGAATCTAAATTTTTTAATGTTTACAAAATCGGGGAATTATTTTTAAACTTTTTTTAATGGTTGCTGAATCTCAGTTTTTTTTTTTTTAATGTTTGCAAAATCAGGGAATTCCTTTTAAACTTCATTTTTGTTTTTCGTGGTATAGCATATATTTACCTTGACGATTTCCACATGCTTTTTGTGCACATATATATAATATATATATATATATATATATCCTACTATATTAGAAGTAAAAATCCCCCTTCCAAACACTTCCTATGATTGCCACGTGACATGAAGAAAGTACTAAATTGCCCTTTTGTCTAACCATAACTAAATTACTAAATTCCCCTTTGCACTTTATGTGACACGTTTTTTTTTAATTTTTTCTTTATGTTTTATTCAATTAGAGTGGTTTTCTTTTCTTAATTATGTAGTCTAAATTGAATTGATCAATTAGGTTTTTGTTACAAAGTGTCAATTTTGTTTTAAGCGTATACCCTTCGGATGAAGCTTATTACAAAGCTATTAAAAATTTTCAAAACTAAATATTGATTTGGCACGACCAATGGAGAACATCAATAAATTATCTTACTAATATTTAAACTTATTAGGATACTTTTATATTTTGTCTAACATTTATTTCAACACATATATTCGATTAAGTCTATTTATATTTAATAAGTAATACTTATAAAACATTTCTAAAACATACATGGCGAAATACAATTTCTTTTTTTGTAAAATACAAATATTTCTATGATCACACTTATAAAACATTTCTAAATCCTTCAAACACTTCTAAAATATATCGCTCTAAATACAAAATTTTTTTTTTTTTTAAATATAAACATTTCTAAGATCTACAGATAGACTGGAATGCGCGACCAGACATCACTAGTATATATAATATAAAAAGAAAAATGAAACATAAATACGCAAACTAACTTTTTGTTCATTTGCAGTTTTAATCCATATCATATCTTAAATAATACTCCCTCCGGTCCTATTTATAAGTCATCTTTTAAGGTTTCATTTAATGTCTTTAAGGTTGCATTTAATGTGTTTAAGGTTTTTTAAATATTTTAATTCTAAGTTTATCCTTCCTTAACTAACTTGACTACCATTCCAAGTGGCAATCGATTAGCTACCTTTAGGAATAATATGAATATTTTAGCAGCTAATAAATGTTTTTCTTAATTTTCACAAAAAGTCAATTATACCTTATAAATAGGACCAGAGGGAGTATCAAAAGTGACAGTCGAGAACTAGAGCCAAGTCATTTCCTATCCTCGTTTAATGGTGGGTGTAATGTTATGGATGTTTAAATCAAAAGAACATTTTTAGTTAGATAGAGAATGAGTTAAGAATATGTATGCAAGAAAAGTATTATGAAGTTGAACCAAATTTCATGTAGAAAGTATCCTAGTTCGACTATTTATAATCTCACTTCATCTGGAGAGTTTTGCCAGCTTCTAATCATATTCCAAATTTAATTTCTTCAATAGTATAGATTCTTCTTCCTGTTTTCCACGTTTTCTAATTATATTCAATTTCAGAAACTACTTGAAATGAGAAACAGTACTGTTGATTGAATAATTCCCAAATTTGGCCAATGCTTAGCATAAAGAGTGATCAGTTTCTTGTGGACTGAATTTCCGCTCGCCTCTGCAAATTAAAATGCTGACTTGATAACCCCCTCCAAAAAAAATCCATTATTATGGAGCAATTTGCCTCTTTCCCATGGTAATTAGAAAGCTAAGTAAGCTATCTTTGTTTTTTTTCGCCGCCCACCGAGAGAGATCGACCTTTAAATTGACTCAAACTAGAATCATCATCTATACATTTCTTTTAGAGGCGAGTAATACTAATATATAATGGGTCTTTTTTTTTCGGAGGTGTCGCCTGAATTGTTTCTAAGTTATTGTCAAAATTCAAAACATATTGCAGTTTGACATTTGGAGAAATGAATAGTCAAAATTTTTTACCCAATAAAAACAAAAAACGGAAGAAAAAAAAAGAACTACTCCCTCCGTCCCATAATTATTGTCCAGTTTTACTAAAATGAAAGATTTTATTTTTGGTCAAACTTAACTATATTTTACCTTAAACAACCGGATATACCCCTACATAAGTAATTGTTTAACCACTAAGATTTTATGGATAATGTTTTTTACTAAGGACAAATGTGTAACTTGATCCATAAAAAGTCAAATTGAACAATAATTTTAGGACAAAATTTTTTGGGCAAAGTGGACAATAATTATGGGACGGAGGGAGTACTATAAATTTCTATAAGTCCATCGTTTCAAAGTTATAGTCGACACTCGAAGAATCCCATATGACCTTCCTTTCTTTTCTTTTTGTTTAACCATATATAGTTGACGATTTTAATGGCCTAGAAGGAAGACTCCTGTATGTACGTAACATTTGGCCTGCAACACAGTGTCATGTGTTGATCAACAGTTAGATTAACTAACAACGAGATTATACCTTAATTTTCTCTCTCTTTGAGAATTTAGTTTAATATTTGACTATAATTATGCAATATATTGTCGGCATGTCAAAAATACTTGTAATCTCATTTCAAAATCAATTGACACGATTCAATGAGTTTATAAACAAGTGACAAGTCGTCTATGATAGCGATGTGAGCTTTTTATTCCAATGAAGAACTTGACTTTACAAAAATGTAAACAACATTCTTCAACATTCCTCAACAACATTTTTATAGCTGGATATATTAAAATAAAAAGGAGAACAAAATTCAAGCTGAACTTTGCTTTCTGAAAAATCAACAAGAAGAAATGTAGCTTGGATGAATGCTGTTCTGTTTGATTTGTCTTATACAAATACTTTTCAACCGAAGCTGCTAGTTTCCCGTTGAAAATCCAAAACCATTTTTCAACATAGTCCAAGAGCGCCATCTGACCACTTTCCAGTGTGGGTCTTTGATCAGCATAGATTATCGATTAGTGATCAGGGATGCTGTACATATTTTCTTTCGATGAAATTATTGGACATCTTAAAAAATAAAATAAAAGAATCCCTAAAATATAGATTAAAAAAGAACCCATTTAAAAAAAAAAAAAAAAGAAAATCCAATCATTCATAAGCTATAAACCCATCCCCAACCAAACCACAAGCCGCCTATATATTTCTAAGCAAAAAACCACCTGAATATTTTTATTCATATAGCATCCGAACTGGTAGATTATTCATTATTATACGTCCCAGACCTAACTATAGTCATGACTCGTCATTTTGACCTAATTTAAACTTCTATAAAAAGATCTACATGCATACTATCGTATATCGAAATTGCCAACGTAAATAGAAATTTGTTTCTTGAACTCAAAACCTCGTCAAAGGGACAGAAAGAGTGTTAGTAGTACATTACATTTTACAACAATTCCCATCATTTTGGAAAGGATTAACAAAAAATAAAATAAAAATGGAGGTTAAAAGTATTGTCCCGGTGATTGACATGCAACACCCTGGTGGTTTAGCCGAGAAAATAGTGAAAGCTTCGGAAGAATGGGGTTGTTTTAGGATCACAAATCATGGGATCTCATTAGAACTCTTGTCGGAAATGAAGGTTGTTTGCCGATCTTTATTAGATCTTCCATTGAAAATCAAGCAAGGAAATGCTAGCCCTTATTTCCAAGGCTTGAATATCGATGATGTTTCCTTTCCTGGAGTTGCCGATGATTTCTTTTCTCAAGTTAATGCTTCCACTCTACAAAGGTAACCAAAATTGGGTTTACAAATTACAAATGAATAAGTATAATTACAGCCAACAAAGTGTGGGGTCTACTGGTGCAGCGATGCGACCCTGGCTTTATCACAATCTTGCAGGATGATGAATTGGTCAACGGCTTGGAAATTGTGAACAAGTTCACCGGAGAATGGGTTCCGGTTGACCCTATTCCGGGCACCCTTGTCGTCAACATCGGAGATATTGGCATGGTCAGTATCTCCACACACACACGAGCAACTTAATTAAAATAATATCGTTTCACTAATTAGACACGATTCATTAATAATGTATCGAGGATAATTAACGTGGTTATGTGTATATATGGAAATGGTTGGGTGCGGGTATGGAGCAATGGAAGATTGTGCAACGTGAAGCATAGAGTACCGTGTTATAAACCAATGATTCGAATCTCAATCGCAATATTTGTGTTAGCAGCCAGAGACAAAATAGTGAGAACAGCAGAAGAATTGGTGGATTCAGAACAACATCCTCGTCTCTACAAACACTTTGATTTTGAGGAATATAGAAAGCTTCGAATTTTTTCCGAGCCACCAATTAATTATACCTCCAATTTATTTGCAATAAGCTAATTACTATATACTATATATAGTATATGACCACTTTTCAGAGGTCTTTTGAGGACTCCAACTCTACAACAGTTTGCCTTGTAAATGATCGGGAGCTAAAATCAAACACAAAAAAGTTACACAAATACGAAACTGTGTACTGAACGAGATTATAATATAGTATAATCCCTTGTTTGTTTGCACCAATCATGGGATACGATTGATACATAAAGTATTTAACTCCACATCTCGGCAAACTGGTCAAGCTCTCAAGTCGTTCAGAGCGCCAAAAACATACACTAATCAGTTTGGATACAAAAAAAAAAAAAAAAAAAAGAAAAAACCCAGAATTTCAATCGGCCAAATTGAAATTGTTTGAATATGGTTTGGTATACTCTATACTACGGAAATTCTATTTTTCTTTTCTGGGATAAAATTCGACAGAGAAGTTGAGTCCGGAATAAGAACCTAAAAAAGAAAAAAGGATAAGAGAAAATGTGATGCTTCCTCCATTGCTGTATTCTTAAATACAACAGGAATTTTCTACTCTTTTGTTTTTTAAATATCCTCAAGGACATTATCTAAGAGAAGAATATACGTACCCCATCCAATGAAATTTCCGACAACCCAAAAATTGTGAGGCACTGGTACTGAACCTAGCTACATTTTCTTTTTATCCTAAAAATGAGTTTTCCCAGAATCCCTATATATCTTACAATTTACAAAGTTTGGAAAGGTACTGTTCTGCTGTCATTCCCATAATTTACATGCATGCCATGAGTTTGGAAAGCTTCATCGGACAAGCTCGCCCTTTTTGAATTCTTTCCTTTCAACCTGGTTTGGGGAGGTTGAGGCGGCATGAAGTACTCCACAACGGAGCCCTTCTCTTCTGAAAAGAATATAGTTTGTGGCCTGCTGGTCGAGAACATGTTACAAGCTAGGGTTTTCTGAGACGGATGGTACCCTGAGGTGTACATGTTGCCGAAGATTGAAGAGAACGGGTCCATATTGTTTGCATCCGAGTAGTCCACTGTGCTAAAAGAGTCTCTAGTACTCTCGGTGGTAAATGATGCTTCATCTGAACTCGTGAAAAGGGACCAATCACTTGATGTCACATCTGAGAACTCTGTGCTCATTGACTGGGCATATGTCTCTGCAAGATGTCGATTCCCACTAGCACTTCTGAGTCCTGAATGGTAACCAGTGACCCAGTTTTTATCTGGTTCAACAATCCGGTGATGTGACCTGCTTTGCTCTGCTCTTGAAGACTTCTGGGTTCTTGTTGAACAATGCTTGGGCATCATAGGACCTTGCTGGCTGGTAGTTTTCCTAGTGACCACCCTAGCTGGCCGAGGCGATGACCTAACAAAACATTTGCTTAAGCAAAAAATATAACTGATACAAAGAGAGGAGCTTACATGGCTTCAGTTGAGATTTGAGAACGGTTGAACGGAAAAGAAAATGCTAAAATGAACTTCAATGTATTAAATAAAGCTTTGTTTTTCCTTGTGAGTGAAAACTCTATCAAAACCTTGGAGTGAAATTTATACCACATGAATAATAGAGGAAACCCTGAAGGCATCTTCCGAAAGTGTTTTTAGTTCTGTGATACCACGGGATTCACTATCCTAGAATAAAGGGGAAAAACATACTTCTAACACCACTTTCCCATGCATAAACCATTGCACAAAACCTCTACAGGCAAGAGTATAAAGACCTTCAACCAAATGCAGGGTACTTACCTCATGTAAAATAATATATACGCTCCTTCTGACATCACCTGACTCATGTCTACAGGTTGCACCTGAATTTCAGCGTGACATGTACAATATAAGAACCAATTGAATGGATCATTAAGTAGCATTGAGCAAGGAAAAGAAGATGAGAGAGCAATGTAAGATGCCCGATTGGACGGATAATAGACCACTTAAAGATTTGAATTTCACAGGGATGTCTCAAAATATTATCAATGGACATAACAGCAACCAAACGATCTTGCTGATCATTCATAACAAAATATATCAAAAATGATAGCCCTAAAAAGTGAATCAAGTAAAAGAATTACCTCGGTGTCATCAATTTTAAACCAAGTTCCTCGTAGATCTTTGATATAGGATATATAGTGCCCAGAAAAAGATGCATTTAGCGTATCTAGATGCACCACAACAGCATAAAGTTCATAAAGAGGAGGGACATCGTCGGTCCCAGTCATGTAGGGAACCATATCAAGCATATCTGGGAATGTGATGCACTTGTTTATCTTGCCATAACTTCCCTCCTGACAACAGACACAACAGTTTGAACGACTGTAAATTAAGAAATGACACAAATTACAGGGACAGACCTCTCACATCAGCCTAACCATGAGTCCTAAACAAAATAGCCTTCATCCCACAACCCAGTGTCAGCTATATAAATCATCCGGTGGCATGGTGACCATCAAACATACATGTTTTCACATTAATATAATAGAGCCAAGATATTAGATAGTTGTATTCCTTTCCAGAGTTTAGGGATGAAGAGAAGTTCAAATTGAAGCCTCAAATCAGTTTAAGCTGAATAGCCAGCTCAAACAATGAAGATGTGCTGACAAATAATCAAACACAAAGTATTGTCAATACCTGAAATCGTTTCAAGACGATAGTCAAAATATTGGGAGCCTCCTGTATACTCAATTGTTTACGCGCCCGAACATAGGCGGCACACCTAACGTTAATAACAAGAACTAATTAACAAAGGAAAGAAAAAAACATTCAGCTTCCAGTTTAATAGTAGAAGATGCCTTGACCGAAAAAACCTTCCAACGAAATTAGAAGACCGACAGACCTGCCACATCGATACATGTTTTCTCCATCTAGATCTTCTGGGCTGGTAAATTGTGTTAAGGCATCTTCTAATGACTCCACCCAACCAAATATCTCCAGTGTAAGATCCATGATGTTTTCGGATCTCTGAGACTCATGATGACACCTTAAACATTTAACCTGTATACGTTTTTAAGATTCATGACTATCTATACTGTGAAAGGAAAATAGAAGGTGGTAGAAATGCTGAACATTTAATAATCCTCAAAAAGCCTAGAAGATCCAGAAAGTTAAGAACCTTAGATCTCAATCGCCCTCCAAATGTATGTTGTATAAAGGTTGTTTCTTGCAAACGAGGATCAACCATATTCTCTCCACCCAAACCCTCCAAGCATATAGATTGCATTGAGGCCACAAGAAACCTGAATCAGCAAAACACAATATGAATATTAGCATAGAGATAAACCTACATATGATATTCATAAAATAATCATCCGAGACAAATTGCTTTATACACACAGATGGATAGATTACAACTAACCGCAAAAACTCATGAGCATCTTCTTGACTTCCATCACCGATCTGGCAATTGATAGCACGCATGTGTGATAGGATTCTGCTGGGCGAAAGTGGTCCTCCACCTTCTCTTAACATCATCACATGCTGTTCAAGTTCACACATGAGGCACCAATCTCTTGCACAACCTAGTGTTTGTGCACGGGTTAGTGAAGCAGTTCTTTAATCCCAAAAGAAACATACAAAAACATATATCTACATTGAGTTCGAGTCAGTGTGTGATGGTTGGGGGAAAGATCCCAGTGTAAGGGGTAAACTAAGAAACTAAAGAAGGAAAAAATAGATTACAAGATCTAGAATGTGATCTTCGGAGCAAAAACACTGTAAGGGGCTTCGTGCAGCTCAAACACTGCAATACGGCATTGGCATAACAACTGCAAACAAAAGAAATATTAATACTTGAATACAGACAAACGTGAAGGCAGCTAATTTTCATTCAGTACACCGAGTAGCAAAATACCAATACCTATTTCCACAGTTTACTAGACCTCTAGGAGATAGGTTGAAGACTTCATACTGGAAATACTTCACAAAGTCTTCATATGGAAATAGCATCTGCAAATAAGAAGAAAGAAATCCAATGTGTAAAATTTCAATTACATTTCGGGTCAATATATAAATTAGCAACTCTACAATCAAATAAAAAGTTACTACATAGTCCGGAACAGCTAACGTTATTAATATGTTTGGCCCCATCTAATGCATGCAATTCAACAAAGAGTAACGTGCTTTCCATCTCCTGACCTTAACTTTCTTATGGCGTTCGGCATTTACTTCGGAAGTTTCTTGCCTGTCAAGTTTTGAAGTCTTCATCAGACCAATCATTTTCATGATACCCAGGCTTGAAATAGCATTACTTCCCTGTGAAGGTACCACATCCTTAACTCTGGATGTTTCTGCATCACAATATATTTGTAAGTGAATGAGGGAAAAGAAAGAGAAAAAAAAAGAACACTTGCAAAACCGATATACAATCAAACTTACTTGAGTCGTAAGCTGTTACAACTTTTTGTTCCATATCCAAACACGTTTGTTCTCTTGATGATTTCATCGTGGGTTTTGGAGATTTATGGTGCTTTGAAACCAGTGAGCTTGATGCACTTTTGGTCTTATTGCTTCTCTTTGTCGACGCCCGTTCAGTTAAAGAACAAAAATTTCTATCTTCTTCAAGAGAAGTAGACTCCCTCTTCACTAAGTTTTCTCCATTAACTGAATCTGAATGAGTATTACCAAAACTCATTTCACTGTTTGCCGAACTTGAGGTGCCATGGGTTTTTCTCGCATCAAAAGCATGCTTACTTTGTTTTGATAACATGTGACCCTCTTCCTGCGAATTTCTTGTATTAGTCTGCCCTCTACTCAAGCCACTTGAGATGTTTACTTCACGGTCTTTAGAAGACTTATTTTCTCTCACCTAAACAAAAAAAAAAAATGAGTCATCTTTAATATCAACATAACATAAACAACATATGTATGCACCAGAAATAATAAGGATAACAACCTTCTCTCCAGCAGAATCATCCTCTACAGGGGCATTATATGGGGAACAGGAAACACCACCAACAGATAATTGATCAAAGCCATCTGACAGAGGTTCATCAACTCTATTTAAGGCGCCCTTACTGCTTTTGAGAACTGGTCTCTTGTCCATCGATCTTCTCTCGGACACAGGGGTCGCTGAGGTGTCCACTTTTGTACCAGCTGCAGCTGCTGAAGGCAAGGAGCCCAAAGATGGACGACTTGTCTTCTCTAAAGGAGCTTTTTCAACCACGTGCTTGTCAAAATTGACTACTAGGGATTGCATGTCTTGTTTACCATCAAATGAGACTCTATCTTGACATTCACTTTCTGTGGAAAGTTTAGGAGATGAATTGCTGAAATGATTATCCACTTGCTGGCACTCATGCTTGTGAACTTCCCTCCAGTGAATGATCTGACACTTCCCAGAACTGCAAGATAAACTTCATACATTAGACTAAGGAATGAAACATAATCATAATGACTGCAGGTAATTTCTACAAATGCCATCAGCTTTAAATAAGATGACACGGTTGTTGTAATGGACAAGTAATAGTGAAAGATTAGGAAATATATATTCAGTTCAGAAATCATTAACCAATAGTTTTCCATACTGATGATACTTCATACTAATCATTGTGGGACTTAGAACTTGATCATACCAATACCAAACAGACTTGCAGCGTTTGCAACGTGTAGTAGTTGGACCAAAGCATCTGGCACACTGATGAGTAGAACTGTTTGGCAACGGTAATACAGGGATGACACTTGCAGTAGCCATAACCTCAACCTGAAGAGCTTCCTCAGCTGCTTGTTGAGCCAATAAACTTATCCTCTCTATCTGTTTTGTTGACTCGCTCCATTTTCCTAGTAGGAAATATGCAACCAGGGGAAGCACAACGAACACCAGAAATAGTGCCGGTATATCAGTTTCCCTTGGCTCAAGCATGTCCTCAACAAAATATTCATGTCCAAGTTCCTTCTGAAAATCTGATCTCACTTAACTGCATAAAAGAAACTGAATCAAGGTATATACTCAACAGTTTCATTAACATGTCTTGATCAGTGAACAGCGACTTAGGAAATCAAATAGAGCAAAAGAAGACGTGGCACGTAATATATTGACAGGCATAGCATTAACTCCTTGTTTCCAAATTAAAATTCAACCAACAATCAATCAGGGAAACAATCTGACTGTCCAAAACTTTGAGAACTTCCAAAGGTGGAATTAATGGCAAAGTTTCCACATTTTCTTTTGTGTCCTCTAGCATCTCTTTTTAACCATAGGCATTCTTAGAAGAAAGGGTAGCTGATATTCACATCCATTTACCCAACCATAAAATCCTCTGAAATTGTAAGTAACTATACATTAGCAAAATCATCCATTGATACCATAGGCAGGAACAACAAATGTCTTTCTCCTTAAGAAGGAAAGATAACCTTTTTAGATATGATTTGATCGATCTTTCTACATTTCTAGAAAGCTATATCCTTTAAATCAAAAACGGAAGCGAAAAGGAACTTTCCAATTTGTCTGACTTGATAACCCTATAGCTGCTTGGAATAGAGAGATCCAACAGGATGATCAAATTTGGTAATAAAATTTAATTTCTCTTGGCTAATGAGAACTCAATCAAGCAAACCCCGAAAAGAACTCAACAACAAACCGGTAGGTACGCATGTATGATTTATGAGTCTACATTCTCAATACACCTTCAGCTGTAAATAGCAAATGCAACTTTTAGACACAAGCGCTTGTTTCTCCATTTTACGCTCTCTCCTCTGTCAACACAGGATCATTGAGACATCATATACAAAAGCAAACAACTTGTTTCAATTATGAAATTTGTCAGGTACTATCAATTTAGCAAATATTTGACTCAGTATTTTTGAGCTTTGATTCACCTTATAAGGGAACAAAAAACATTTCAAAGACTGAACTTTCTTTTATGCGACTGACCAAAAAACTTGTTGGCTGATTCAAAACACCGGATACAATTTGAGCAAAATAACTCCAACACAAGCTTGCACCGACAATTACAGAGAAAACACGCTAAAATGACTTGATTCTGAGTAGACTTAAGAAAACCAATTAGTTAATGTATCAACAAGAACAGGCCTAGGGCCAAACACATTCCCCACATACATTTCCATATTCAAGTCAACAATAAATCCTCAGCTGCAAATTAGCAAGTTTCCATCCTGAGGTGAAAAAAAAAAAAAAACACCAACAATCAATAAACCCCACCAAACAAAGCATTCACCCCAAACCCAGAACAAATTAATAATTAAAAAAGAGGTGCCAAAAGAATTCCTCCACCGAATGCTAAAAATCAAATCTTTATAGCACAAATTGGAAACCCAGATGAGCTCAGAAGCTGAAATCAATGATTAAACCGAAACCAGCACACACCACAATTAGAAAATTCCCCCCCCACAGAACAAAAGTAGGAAAATATAAAGAAAGAAATGGGTAGGTAGTATTATTCCTTTGAGAGCTGCTTACCCCTTCTTCTATTTATAAACCATGGTAATAGAAGCAGTAGCAGTAGTCGCATAAAACCACCAACATTTCCTGTTAGCCCAACACCAGAGCCTCTTCCTGAATTTCTTTCTTTCCTTAAACCCGCCAAAAAGATATACCTCGATTCCTCAGATGATAGCAAAAGCCAAAAAACAGTTACACTTGCTCGACTTCTTTCTCTTTGTTTTCTTTTCTTCTTTTTTTTTTTTTTTTTCTTCCTTCCTTAATTTACTCTTCTCTTTCTTGACATTTGCCACCCTTCTTTCTTCTAACACTGTACACTTAGCAGGACCTCCTTCACTCTACTTTTAAGGCAGTGGTAATTTCTCTCTACACACTCGGGCATAAGCTTCATAGCGTACGCTTTATACGTGGCGGCATATCATTTGTTAAGAACCGAAGCTATAAATTGGACCCACTCGGAGAGGAAAGATCTCAACCGTTGGATCTGAGATTGTTCACGTGGAGAAATATTTTAAAATAAAAATTGGGGAGGTTCCAGTGAATGACAGAATGTGATGTAGCGTAGGGTAGTACCGTAGTACTGATCTACTGGTGATGTTAAAAAAATAATAATAATTATTATTATTATCTGATGGTTTAGTGGGGCCCGGTCAGATGTTTGGGATTTACACGAGAAATTAAACTCGGTGCCACGTGTACGGGCATGATTAGATAATAACATGCATGGATTTTGTTGTTAAATGCAGAGAGTGATGTGTTTTCTTTTTTTGTTTGAGTACTAAAACGATAAAAGTAGGTATGATGAGCGTGAGTGATCGCTTCAGCGGTTTGACCAGTAGATTTATATTTAAATATAATATATATATATATATATATATATACACACAGTATATTGCAAGAAGTATTTTCTACTGGTTTCTACGATACACATTTTAGAAAAGTGAAATTTCTAAATTAAATAACTTGACTTTGTTTACACTTTGAGTTTGATGTTTGATCTTGAGAGATTACAGGATATGTTAAACCAAAATAAATAAAGAAAAAAAAATCATGTATAATTTCCGTGTATTACAACCATATCAATGATCCATTTATCAGTGATAGGAAATAAAAACATCGTAATAATATCAACGAGTAGCATGTGTTAATTCTTTAACTGTATTCACTTTATTCAAATCATCACACGACGGTTTCATTTTCTTTCCGGTTCAAATTACTTTTCGAACAAAGATAGTGTATTGAAAACGTGAATCATCACAAAACCTCATTTCAAATAATCAAAAAGTCTGTTCGAGGTAATAATATCCGAGAAATGAATTTGACGTTTATACTGGTTAAGAAAAAACTAGTTAATCAATAACATACAGTAAAAGTAGAAATTCATAAAATCTTAGGTAGGGTAAACTGTAAATTTAGGGTTTAAAAAAAGGGGGGGCATTTGAGCTGCATAAGGGGGGGGAGCCTCCTTAGGAAAGGAAGAGAAGAAAAGACAAGAAATGTAAACAGTAGGGAAGAGCAGGGGTATGTTTTCTTCTCTCTGGTAGCTATTCCCGATAAGATGCTCTGTCTCTGCTTCTAATTGTTCCCCTTTATTATCAGTAAAAAAAAAATTGGAAAAAGAATTTACTAAATTTGTTTTTGGAATTATTGTGCTCTTTTATATTATTTGTTTTTCCCATAACAGTACATTTTTGTACCATTCTTCTTGTTTCTTTGTTCATTTTCAGGTTCTATTACAATATTATTTAGATTCGTATTCGTGTGCCAGATTTTAAACTTTATTTTCTTCATCCTTAGATCAGCTAATTGTTTCACTGAGCCTTCTGAATAATTCTCTCTTCTCAACAGAATTACAATCTCAGAAGCCAATAATAATGGAAGATTAACACATCAATTTCTAATATTTCCCTGTGCATGTATATATATATATATATATAATATTTTTGACGAAAATACTTTGGAAAGATATTGGGATCCAAATTAGTAATTTTTTTTTTTTTCGCAACAGAGCAATATGTAAAAATGAAAGTAAAACTTTCAACCTAGAATCACAAAACTTTACTCTTACGAGTTATCATATAGTAGTAATAGATAAAAGGTTTCATATATGTGTATTAATAACTACTAAACGTTTCTTGCCATTTTATTTTTCACCCTATTAAGATCAGTTTTGGTTTACTAGAAGAAATACATCTTGAAAGTGAAATTTATAGAGTAATGCTAGTTTTAATTTAATTGACTGCTTTCAACAGTCAAACTGTATTCTAATCACATCAATAATAATTTACTTATGGGTAAAACTCACATCACCAAAGTAAGCCTTAAAAGAAATCCATTAATCTTAGTTCTCATGCCTATATCTAAATAAAATATCACAAAACATTTTTTCTTTTCCTTATATTGTACCGCCGGTTAGAAAAGAAAAAATAAAATAAAATAAAATTCTCATCGTCATTGTATATATATTGGTCATTTTTTATAGCACTTATTAAATCATTGGCTTCTTGATTACTTTGGGGTCACATGGAAGTGGAAGATTAGAAATCATGATTAGCTGGTCAAAGATGTAACCGAAGAAGGAAGGAGAATTGGAGATGAAATTTTGTCTCTATCGCTGGGGAAAAAGAAATTATGTACAGAATGGTTTTAATCTCCTCTGTGCGGGCTTTGTTACTTTCCAGAAGGAAATGGCAAAACTAATGATATTCAAAAATAAATAAATAAATAGTTCCTTTTTTCACACCATAATGCATGCGCCATGGATGTGGAAAGTGTGATTAGCTTATCATGAAGGATGATCATGGCGAGAGCCAGTTAATGACCCCATATATATGTTCTCGATTACAAAAATAACCCAAAAAAGGAGTCCAATTTGGATAAAATAGTTAGAAATTAATTTGAATGTAACTGCATTCGATTGAAACACGGTAATTTGGTTTTGGTTCATGCCTTATGTACCTGTATAGGATTCCGTAGAATGTTGTATTAGTTTATATTTTTTTCTCTTATAATTTAATACAATCACGATATAAGAAGAAAAAAAATATATTTGTTACATATAACGCACACTATACGATATTATTTACTTAAAAGATGAGACACTTGTATCTCCGTACGTTCATTTATATTCAACTAATGGATGGCTTATGAAAGTGGTATTAGAGTTTTGGATTTGGTTTAGCTTAATTTATATTACTGCTTTTATTTAGATACAATGACATTTTGAGAATACGCTCCTATGCCATACAATCAACAAGCTTTAAGTAATCAATGTTCATCACTACTCGATTTTAGTATGGATGCGTGCAACTTTTGTGTAATAATTTGGGAAACAAAGTCGTCTTCTAGATAAAACGGCACAAGTTACTCGTTATATACATTTATACCAATTAGGATGGACATTTATATTTGTGATTTCACTCTAATTACACATACTACAAACAGATAATTGAATGAAACATTTTAGTTTCAAGTTAAAAAAAAAAAAAAAGTCATTAAACTCATAGTAGTATCATCTTCCGTCTAAATTTCATAAAATAGGCTTTACATTACATTGCAAAAATCAATGAATGTGCATTAACGAGGTTTTTAAAAAACAAATATATCATTAATAACAATATATTTGCGTATACTTAGTCACCTCTGACAAAGACTGTAACAGTACTCAAGTCATTTTCAGCCTTTTTTCCGAATGAAAATCTATTGATTTCGTATGCTTTAGTCTCTGGTTCTTCTTTTTATTCTTTTTTAATATTAGATCAGATGAGAATCTGAAACTAAATTATAAAAATACGTATGCTGAAATCATACACAGTTCATAACTTTTAGATCTTTGGAAGTAAGTACATGCAGAATGAAAAAAGTGGTCCTTAATAATTTGCCTTTTCGCGGAGTTCAGTAGATCTCATTACTACAAAATTATACTATACGTTTCTTTCTCTCTTCGCGATAAACTAGTTTTTCATGCTTAACTCGAGCCACCCTCACTAATTAAACAACACCCAAAAAAATGACCATTTCTGGCAATTTTCCATCATGACGCACACATTATTATTAAACCAAAAAAAAAAGTCAGTAATCAAAAAAGGAGGGTCTGGTTTTGTTCATTTCTAAATTTGGGTTGATGGGGTCGTTTATCTTTGTGACCCAGACTTTCCTTTTTTTGATTGAGGTAGGCCCTATGGGGGTACTACGACCTAACAGTTTGAACTCATCAGATTTAATCTTTGATTAGTTGTACTTTGGATTAACTAACTACATAATTTAAGTATTAATTATGAATGCTTATTAAATTGTGGTGATCATTAATTATAGCTAGCACAGTAGCACCTCTTCTTCTTTTTTTTTCTCTCTTTTTCTTTTTTTTTCTTTTTTTGGGGGGGTACAAAGCACCTCTTCTTTCTGGCTTCTGCTTTTGGAATTATGCGGCTAAAACGTTCGCATTTAGAAACCAAGAACGAGAAGGGTTTGTTAGGCAGGTGGATCTTTTGCTACTTTTTTAAAAAATTTGGGAAACCCATTGAATGTGGAAAAATGTGACCATTTTCGTTGATCCGCAAATAAAAAGTTTTACTCTCATTTGGAATGGCCAAAAACCAAACTCAATCACCACGCTACTGATACATTAGAGTTCACGTTTTTTGTGCATTCTTTTTGTTCAATAACCATATGATGTTTCTTAGGGGCATATGTATTCTCGTACTGTCACGTCCAAATCGATCTCCATTTAACTTGATGAATCTTTCTTCAGATCAAAGATCGGAGCAAATAATTTATTCCATTCCATATTCTCGAATTCAAATATCTAGTATAAAGATAATGTTCGTTGAATTTCTGGTATTACTTAAGACTACAATTTTCTCTCACACTCGTCATTCATGATGTGTGTTATTGACTACTATCATTTTCAATATTGTGTAATACCTGATACACGACTATTATTATCTTTGTAATTCACCTTATAAGCTATTTCTTTCAAATAGGAAGTGGCCGAATCTTCCTAATGCAAATTAATATAAGCTGGACCACTCATTGTTAGACGAATTCCAATAAAATTAATGTAAAAGTTTTATTTCAAAAAAGAAAAAACCGAACCACTTTTGCGAGCATATAGTTTGCTAGTTGGATGAGTTTGTAAGTCCCCTTTTGATACTTTTTGCGAGTTTGTGTACATGAACTTTCGATAATTAGAGATATGAACATTTTTACACCCAAAACATTCGCATCAATTCACAAATCTGTAAAAATGTTGAAAATGACGATAGTATTATATTAGTCAAGTATTTCTTGAGTAATACTCCCTCCGATCCTTATTATAAGGCATTTTGATTTCATTATAGATTTCACTTAAATTGTCTTTTTAATTGAAATAAAAACCTTAAAAATATTTCATAATAATTAGGAGAACACAAGAAATGTGAAAATATATGTTTAAGGTTTGTTTTCCAATTAAAAAGACAATCTAAGTGAAACATAGGACGGAATCAAAATATCTTATAATAATGACCGGAGGGAGTAATTTTTGGGTGCCAAAGGTTGATTATCCTGAAATTCTGAAAATGTCAAAAAAAAAAAAATCAAATAGATATTTGTTTGTGGAGAAATTTTTCTAGTACATGGATGGTGGATCCATGGAGGAAAGAGAAGCCTATGATTCAAAACGGTTCACACTCTTATGCTGAAGATTGAAGTTATTAAGGAGTGCCCAGCAGCTGAAGCCCAAAAAATTGGTTGAAAATATTCACGACCATCATCAACCTGGGCCCATATTTGAGCCCAAGTAAGCCAACACGGATTCAAGCTGTGCTTCCCAGATCAACCATCAGTCAAAGACTCAATTTGCAATGATGAATTATTGTTGAAAATTTTAAAAAGGAAACGAGTTGCACATTTCAACAAGGATTCTAAACAAATCCAATACTGTACATAATACTTACTTCTTACAATGTTCCTATGTTTGTTGAATCATTTGGACAACGAATTTGTCCCACATTTTGCTAAAAATTCATCATTTTTTTTCTGATATTTTCCCGATTTCCACCCTGTCCATGAATCTCGTGATTCCACCCGATTCCAACTCTCCAGTCCTCCTCCTTCAACCCCTTTTAGCCCAGCTATGAAATCTTCATCCATCCACCAAGAAACATCTCAAAACCTCACCGACCCTCTTTTGACACCAAGATTCGCCGCCGCAATGGATGATGAATCATTCACCACGACGACGAAATCATACTGGAGATTCAGCAAGAATGATTTTTACCCGGAGCCCACCTTCCGGAATTTCTCAACTTACCTCTCCGCCGTCTCCGATACCCCTCGCCGTCTCGAAGATCGACTCTTGGGCCGATCCTCTGACGTGACAGAGCTCGTGGAGCTGAAGAAGCAATCAGAACATCCAATGCACCGATGCCTTACTTGGTGGGATCTTATTTGGCTTGCTTTTGGCTCTGTTGTTGGGTCAGGTATTTTTAGCATTACTGGCCAAGAAACTCATAATGATGCCGGACCTGCGATTGTTTTGTCTTATGCTATTTCTGGCTTCTCTGCTCTTCTTTCCGTCTTTTGCTATACTGAATTTGCTGTTGATATTCCAACTGCTGGTGGCTCGTTTTCGTTTCTTCGTATTGAATTGGGTGATTTCATTGCTTATATTGCTGCTGGGAATATTCTTTTAGAAGCTATTGTGGGTGCTGCTGGATTAGGCCGGTCATGGTCATCGTATTTTGCTAGCCTTATTAGTAGTAATCCTGATATTTTAAGGATAAAAATTGATTCTTTTGCTGAGGGTTTTAATTTACTGGACCCTCTTGCTGTTGGGGTTTTGGTGATCTGCAATGGGATTGCAGTGTCAGGGTCTAGGAGGACTTCGATTCTTACATCCATCACTTCTATCATAAGTGCTGCCATTATAGTTTTTATCATTATTGTTGGCTTCATTCATGCTGAAACTACGAATTTGGTGCCCTTTTTTCCATTTGGGGCCAAGGGTGTTTTCGCTGCTTCTGCCGTTGTCTACTGGTCGTATACCGGGTTTGATATGGTTGCTACAATGGCTGAGGAGACGGAGAAACCTTCCAGGGATATACCTATGGGTTTAGTTGGTTCCATGTCTATGATCACAATCATCTATTGTTTGATGGCGTTGGCACTGGCTATGATGGTGAAGTATACAGATGTAGATGTAAATGCTGCTTATTCGGTTGCATTTGAGAAGATTGGTTTGAAGTGGGCTAAATATCTGGTTGGAATATGTGCTCTTAAGGGAATGACCACAAGTTTACTTGTGGGATCTATGGGACAGGCTAGATATACAACTCAGATTGCAAGATCACATATGATTCCCCCTTGGTTTGCTCTGGTTCATCCAAAGACAGGAACACCAATTTATGCCACGCTGTTGGTGACTACACTTAGCTGTATTGTTGCTTTCTTTTCTAGCCTAGATGTGTTGTCAAGTGTGCTTTCTTTCAGTACTCTCTTCATCTTCATGCTCATGGCTGTTGCATTGCTTGTTCGGCGGTACTATGTTAAGGATGTCACACCACGGTCCGATCATATCAAATTCCTGGCTAGCCTGTTTCTCATATGTATTTCGTCAATTGGATTTACAATCATTTTTAATTTGAATAAGGGAGGATGGATTGGATATGCTGTTACAGGCATCTTATGGTTTATAGGCACTCTGGGAATGGCATTGATTCCAATGAAGAGGCTTCCTAAAGTTTGGGGTGTCCCTCTTGTTCCATGGTTCCCTTCAGTTTCAGTTTTGACGAATATCTTTCTCATAGGATCGCTTGGTGCTGTGGCTGTCTGGCGATTCGTCATATGCAGTGGGATAATGGTAGTGTACTATCTTTTAGTTGGTGTCCACACGACTTATGATATGGCTCATCAGGATCCTATGGAAGTGAAAGTTGAGGAGGGCACAGGAAAAGGGGATCAAGTCGTATTATAGTGATCGTACAGGTTTGATTACATCGATTGTTTGTATCTAAATCTTAGCATACAGAAGCCTATATCTTCATCCATTTGTTTGGATCACAATTGGTGGATAATGCACAGGGTTCAAGTGTATAGCCAAAATTCACTGTGGAAATATTTAGTGCATTAGGTTGAAGTGTATAGCTAAAACTCATAGTTCCCACATTGATTCCTTTCCACTAGAAGGGATGCTGCTCATTCATATTTCTTTCAAAATTTGTATCTTCATTAGGTTTTCTGGTGTTTGCATATTAGAACATCGGTTTCTTTAGTAGAACTGCATAAGATTCTGATTGCGTAAGAAATTAATTACAGTACAACTCATTGAGGTTAATAGCTTAAGAAAAACAACTGATCTGACAAATGAAGTGATGTAGATGATAGTTTACAGTCCTTGGAGAGCCGAACACTTAGTCTTGGTGATTTTCAGTGTTTCCTATATCTTTTACAGATTTCCAGATTCAAGTGTAATAGTATCTGGAAGTCCAAACACACTTTAGTTCTGTTGAGGAACAATTTCGCATGATGATAATGGAATCAGATGTTCGCTTTACATGCTATCTGGTGTCCTAGAAGTACAGTAATTCTTTTCTAAATCCACGTCAGTTACAAGTTTCTGCTAGATATTAGATGAATATTGCATATAGTCAGAAGTTATGGAGAAGAATTGAGATAATGCTGCAGGTAGATGTAAAGGTTGCAACAATTCTTGCTCTATTAGATAGTCTTGGATTTTCCGTGTTTTGAATGAGTGTGCTTTATCTTACACGAATCAGATTGGAAGATGAGAAAACCTTGAAACATGCCCTCAGGAACTCATTAGGATCTTGAACTCCTAAATTAGAAGCTGGTCTATAAGCTTCAGTCATGAGGCTATCTTACCCAACTGGGTAGAAGATTTGGCCAAAGAATTTGGAACTTATTGTTATATATATCTCGAGATTGTGAAAGAAGAAAGAACACCCACATAACTAGGTGCCTACTGATGCATAAATCAATTCCTCGTGTAGAGTTTTTCTACTACAATTTGGTCCCTTTTAGACTTAGTAGATACTATCCTTGGCCTCACAACAAATTTGGTCGCTGCCATTTTAGCTCTGCATCAGAATTTCATAGCTCAAATGTGTGCTCCATTGATATGTATTGGTTCTTTAGTCATGATGACTTCATGTCGTAATGATCATAGTTTTGCTCGCTTAAGGATCAATCATAATAAGTTTTAAAAGTATCTTGATGTAGGCTTTAATGGATCACGGATTCAACTAGGAAGTGGTGCGGGCTCCTTTGAATTTAGGATGGCAATTGGGCAGCTACCTTGGCAGTCCATTACCATGCAGACTCATTCATATTACTTTTTGTTCGTCCTAAAATAAAAATAGTCAACACCTCCGTCTAGTATTAAAGAGAAATTAGATACGGACATGCTCCGATCATACCACACCTATAAGGATGTTTTGGAAATCCTAAGCCTCGGTTTCCCTCGTATTCCAAAAAAAAAAAATTAAAAAATAGTCTACTTCGTTCCTCTTTATTCAACCTTATCAAGAGATCGACAACAAGAAGTTGATAAGAATGAAAAAGAAGGATTAATAAAACCAGAAAATTAAAATGACAGCAAAATAATTGTAAAAAGCAAAGTGCAGACATTATTGTGGACTAATAATTATTGACACAATGATCTCTACTTCATAATATGAAACTGACACAGATAGAAATGTTTCAGAAGAGGTAGAAAAAAAAAAAGAAGATAACCAGATGCATTTCTGACCTAATGTTAACATCATCAGGTAACCTGTCCTGCTCAAATTACCATAATAAATGAATTATAACTCTTTTCATCTGTCAGCTGCTTCATTATTGGTTCCTGATCTGATCAGTGGTATTAGTCTACCACAACATTATTATCTCAACTCTCAAGCCTGCAATTCAGCTTTTAAATGACTGCCAAAAGAGTGAAAAAGGTGATTTGAGGTTTATCCAGATTCCAAAATACACTCATTTTTCACCTCAGGATTAAAAATGCTTCATATCTATCTCAAAAATCTTATCTACTCTTATATTGATATTTTTAGTACTAAATTAAAATCATCAAGTACCACAGACTACTATCTTTTTTCTCCCTTTCTTTTTTTTTTTTTTTTACTTGGTCAGTGTGACACTATAAATGTGTTTGATCTAGGGATGCTTATCCTCTCAAATCATGTCAAAGTTTCTTTTTGTTTTAACTTAGAGCTTAAATGTGGAAAAGAACAAGTAAAACTTGTATTGCTTTTCCCTTTTTTTTTTTTTTTTGGAACTCAATTTTTTTTTTTTTTTTTGTACTCAACTTGTATTGCTAAAAGAAAGTGGATTCTTGGGATTATTATTGTGAGTGGATTTGATAGGGGATTCCCATTTATCATTGCCAGCCTTTTTGGGATTCACTTGGATAACCATAACCATTAGGAGGAGGAGTAGAATTCAAAGCCGAAAAGCTAATAGTATCCTTACTTAAAGTATGCATCAATCAAGTTCAATGCTTGTATTTATTTTCAAAATCATGCGTGATTTCCTTGATTTGACCATTTGAAAGATATGGGCCGAATGGCTAGCCTCGTACAATTCTTCACAGTAATACTAGTGCGTAGCTTCCAAAAGCCATATCTATTATCCATATCTCTATCTCTATTCTCTCTATATATATTTATTAAAAGAAAATTTTCAATCGAACACATGACGTAAAATTAGATAAACCAATGCACATGGCGTAAAATTAGATAGCCAAATCCAAATATCGAAAACACATCACTCCATCATTTAATGGTAATTTTTTAATATAAAAATTGTAAATAAAACTAAATCAACTTTAAAAAGTAAATTTAACTCTCTAATTATTTATTAGTGTTCCTGTTCTCTCGGTTGATGAAGAGAAACACAATTGATAAAACAAAACAATTTAGTTAACTTTATAAAAGCTAAAAAAAACCTTGGCACAACTTATTTAACTTTATAAACATTTTAGTCGGTTAGCTTATTTATCAATCAAAACCTTAGCAATAATAAGTTTAGCAAATTTATTGGCTGTAAATTTATTAAATTATAACTCAGCCGACTTTAATAAATAAGTTTACTAATTTAGACTTCTTAGATTGATATGATTTGTTTAGTTCATCAGCTTGGTGCACTAATTTAAATATGATTGACCCCAATATTGGTTACTAGATTTTTTGTGTTTATTCCTAAATTTAGCATAATTAAATATCAGTATCAAATATGATAATTTTTTAAAAAATTATAAGAAATAAATGTTTAAATTAATTTATTTCTTATAATATTAACAAGGTAGACCAAAAAGAAGTATATTTTCGGTTGCTCAGAATAAAAATTGTTTCATCGTAATAAAGATAATTAATAGTCCATACGGGCTAAATAATTTTTATTTTATTTTTTTGCATATGTATCTTGGAATTTACGTGTGATATGCCATTTTCATCATGAATCCTCTAACCTTAATGAATATTGGTAATTTGCAACAAGATATAAAAAAAATATTTAGATGATTAATTATATTTTTTTCATTTTTTTATATAATATATTGGTAAAAAAAAGTTAATGTTATGATGATAAAATAAAATATAAAAATTAATAAGGACAAATTTTTCCAAAATGAGAAAAAATAAAGGTTTTTATGAGAGACAAACTGTAGAAAAAGAAACATATTGAGAAATTCAAAACAATTATATGGAAGAAAAAATTATGTCGAAATAATGAAAAGAGAAACCAGAGATAATAGTTTAAAATGAAATAGTTTTACTGCAATTTTTTCAAGAAATGAAACTTTAAAAAGACCTCGTCAAATTTAATAAAAAACAAATGTGAAGACTATGCAACTAAGAAAAAAAATAAATACTATATTACATGAAAATAAACTTCTAAAAAAAGGTTACAATAGATATATAGAAAGATAAAAAAAAAGAAAAAAGATAAGTTCGTGGAAAAAAATAATGAGAAACTTTTCTATTAGTGGGAGAGTTTAATACACAAATAAGAATATTTAGAGAAATCATTATGAAAAATTAAGTGAATACTTTTAAAAAGATACAAAGCCATAAATTAACAAAACAAAAAAAAAGATAGACAATAAGTTGCATTAGATGATTTCCAATAGTGAAATTTATTCGAAATGTATTTAATCAAAATAACAAAACACATTGACATTAAAAATTAAAAAATTACGATTATACCATTAATAATATTTCTTTTACAAGTATCACTCTATTAGAAATGTCGCTCCATTAAACACTAGCTTCAAGTTTTTTTGGTTATAAATTTTTGACTTCTTATTAAAAAAACATATTAAGAAATTGAAAAAAAATTATGTAAAGATTAAAGAAAATGTGAAAAAAAGATCGTGATAATAGTGAAAATTAAAATAATTATTAAAAAATTATCAAGAAATTAAGTTTTAAAGAGAAGTAATTAAATTTAGAAAAAAACAAAGACTATATGACCAAAAAAAAAAGAAACATTATATTATAGGTAAAATACACGAACGAACTTTCAAAGAAAAGTTGCAAAGGTATATAGAGAGATAGAAAATAGATAAGTATATGAAAAAATATAATGAGAAACTTCTATTAGAGGGAGAATTTAAAAGATATGACACAGATAGTTTTTAAAGATATAAAGCCATAAATCAACAAAACAAAAAGGTTGGATAATATGTTACATTAGATGATTGCGAATATTAAAATTATTCCAAATGTATTTAAAACAACAAAATATATTGACATTAAAAATTACAAAAGTTCAATTTATATCATTAATATTATTTTTTAATATGTATCACTCCATCAGAAATGTCATATAATCGTTAGATCATTAAACTCATATATATCTTGGAACCCGCACAACGTGCGGGATAAACACTAATATATATATAAAAGCAGAATTCTTAATCAACACGTGCCGCACATGGAGCAAGTTTAGTTAATTGTGCCACGTGCCGTCACCAAAATTTTTCTTCATTAAACAGTTAAAAATTTGTTACTAATACGTAAAATTGTTAAATTGATTAAGTAATTAATCAAAAGTTAATTTCGGATAAATATCATGTGTTTGGTAATTATTGACAAATATATGGCATAATGAAACATTAATTATTAAATTAATAATTGTATTAAGAATACAGTTTGAAACTAAGCCTAGATGCATTAAACGTAAGTTAATATAGTTTTTCAGATGATTTTGTTTGATATATTTTCCAAAAATTAAAAGAATATTAGTTACCCAAAAAAAATTGTTACCAATAACTATATTATGAATACAATTCGAAACCAAGTCTGCCTACATTAAACTTATCTTAATATTATTTCTTAGATTATTGGTATATTTTCCATAAATAAAAAGAGACTACTTACCAAAACAAATAGATTATTTTCCAAATAATGAAATGAATATAATTCGGAACTAAGTTTGATTACATTAAACATAGGTTAATAATATTTTTCTGGTGATTCTATCTGATATATTTTCCAAAAATAAAGATATATTAGTTTCCAAAA